AAATAGAGGGCTCAGGGTGAGTTGAAGATGAAGGGGTGATATCTGGAGAATAAAATTAAGGCGTGAGAAAGGATTATACTGGGAGAAGGAGAAAGGGAGAGGTAGAATGGGGTAAGTTATCTCACGTAAAACAGACAAGAAAAGGCTTTTACAGTGGAGGGGAAGTGGGGGAAGGTGAGAGGGAATGAGTGAATCTTATTCTCATCCGATTTGGCTTAAGGAGAGAAAAAACATACACCCTCAATTGGGTATGGAAATCTATCTTACCCTACAGAAAATAGTCGGGGGGAAGGGGACAAGAGAGCAGGAGGATGATAGAGGGGAGGGCAGATTGGGGGAGGAGGTAGTCAGAAGCAAACACTTCTAGAGAGAGACAGGGTCAAAAGAGAGAATAGAATTAATGGGGGGAGGGATAGGATGAAGGGAAATATATTTAGTTTTTCGCAGCATGACTACTATGGAAGTGTTTTGCATGACTTCACATGTATAACCTGTATCCAGTTGCTTGCCTTCTCAATGAGGGTGGGTGGGGAGGGAGGAAGGGAGAAAATTTGGAGCCAAAAATTTAAAAACAAAAGATTAAACAATGTTTTCACAAACAACTGGGAAATAAGATATACAGGAAATGGGGTATTGAAATCTATCCTGTCATACACAAAAATAGAAGGGGAAGGGGATAAGAGAAGGGGGGAGAGATAGAAGGGAGGGCAGATTAGGGATATTCAGAATACATGACATTTTGGGATGGGGGAGGGATGAGATGGGGAGAAAATTTGGAACTCAAAATCTTGTGGAAGTGAATGTTGAAAACTAAAAATAAATTAATTTTTAAAAAATCTGCACTCTGTATCTAGATACATTTCTCTAGATACCGTTTTCTTTGAGTTGGAAGAAATTTTTTTTGAAGGAACACAAGCACCATCTAGTGGTGACTTTGTAGGTATAAAGAGACCTAAGTCAGAGTTAAGAAAGAAGTGACTTTATTGCAATACACTCTTGCAATCAGGATTCTGTACCCACCCCTTTAATTGAAACTGCTCTTTCTGAGGTCACTGAGGCCTGCTAATCAACTATCACTTCTACACAGATGACTCCCATATTTATACCTCCTAGACTTCATATATTGCATTCAAAGCCCTTCATGACCTAGCCTTCAACCCTCACCTCTTTCTCTCCTAATTACACCTTACTCCCTGACATGTACTCTTTGATCCAGTAACACTGACCTCCTAGCTGTTCCAGAACAAGACACTCCATATCCCAGCTCCCAGCATTTTCTCTGCTGTCTCCCATGCCTGGAAAGCTCTTACCTCTTTCACTCCATTTATAGACTTCCCTGGTTTCCTTTAAATTCCAAACTAAAATCCTGTCTTTTACTGGAAGCTTCCTTCAGTCTCTCTTAATTCTAGTGTCTTCCCTTTATTAATTATCTCCTATTTTTCCTGAATATATCTTGCATTGCTTATATTTGTTAGAAAGGTGTTACCCCTGTTAGATTGAAAGCTCCTTGGGTATAGGGACTGTCTTTTGTTTCCTTTGGCATCCCCGGTGCTTAGGACAGTGCCTGGCACATAGTAGGCTTTTAGTAAATGCTTACTGATTTATGAAGATCAATCTATCCTCAGTGTTCCAGATGCACAATGTACTGCAATGAAAAAGCACACTTATTCTGTGTTTAGAAGATCTGGGTTCAAATCTTGCCTTTGATGCTTAATTCCTGGATAACCATGAGGAAAAATTATTTTACCTCCCTGGATTTCAGTGTCTTCAACTGTATAATGAGGGGGTTGGCTTCTGAATCCCTTGCAGCTCTATATTTATGATCTCCTGCTATCTACAAGACATGTCCATGGGCACTTCAAACTGGACTCTTTTCTCCTAAACATACTATTCTTATTCTACTATTAATATCTTTAGTATAACCATTCATTCAGTCACCTAAGTTCCTTACCTTGTGGTTATCTTTGACTTTCTTTTCTTTAGTTATAAAGTCCTATCAACTTCACTTGTATAATAACATTCACATCTGTCCTCTCCTGTCTTTTTCTGCAGCCACCATACAAATACAGACTCTCATCATTTACTAGGACTCTTGTAATAGCCTCATTATCTTCCATCCTGCCCTACACATTCCCTCCCAATACATACTTCATGTCGCTGTCAGAATAATCTTTCTTATGCCTAGATACATCCTCAGCTCAAAAATCTTCACTGGTTCCTATTGCCTGCTAAGTAAAATTCAAATTTATAGTGTTTCATAAATATGGAGCTAGACCTCAAAGATCATCTATAACAATCCTTTTATATTAAAGATGAAGAAACTGAAGCAAAGGGTAGTTAAGTCACTTGCACAAAGTCACACAGGTATTAAGTGGTATACTTGGGGTTTGAACCCAAGGCTTCTGATTGCAGAGTCAGTGTTCTTTTTACTACCTTTGGTGAGTGGATAAGGTATGTAAAAGGTTCATAAATGAAAAGGTACCCTGACCCCCAGTTACAAATTATTTCTACCTCTCCAGATCTGTCAAGGTGTTTGTAAATCTTTATTCTATCTTATATTGTGCTTGTACCAAACCTCCATTATACATAATAGGTACTTAATAAAATCTTTTGAATTAAGAGGTGTGTGGATGTGTGTGTGTGTGTGTGTGTGTGTGTTTTACAAGTTCCTCAGAGTGAGAGAGCTATGCATACCAGATTACCTGATGAGGGTAGGGAGAGAATTCCAGAAATAATGGGTAGGGGTTGAAGTTGGCAGTAGAGATTCTGATAGAAGCTCTGAAGGTTTCTTGCCTTAAATTTCCTGATGGAGCTCCTAAGTTTATTATTCTATAGTTAACAAAAGGCTAATCATTTACAAGGGTTAAGTCAGTGTTGTTATTCAATACAAAGCTCTGAGTCCAATAATGGGGCTTCTTTTCCCAAGCATTTCCTCAATAGAAGTGGGAGTTATATAAGGCTTAACGTTTGAGAGCATATGCTGTCTCCATTTGGCCTTGCATATTTGGATGATGATTTTTATGCTCCTAATATTATATTTTCACACTATACAAAATGAACCAGCATCTCAGTTGTTCAAAAATATTTATTTTAAAAACAAATGTGAATGTTTATTGCAGATAATCATACCCTTTCAGAAAGTGTAATTCTTTTAACTTGAGAACTTTGTTGCTTTAAAATAAGTAATGTTAACCTGCAAACTAAATTGGCAATGTTAATGGTTTCTAAATCATCACATCCTCCCACTCTAGTTGCCCCAAAGAAGGTAAATAAAGTTTCTTAATTCAGTGGATGGCTAAAAAAAAATTAGTGCTGAATCATTAATATTTGTGGTTTGTTGGAGAGGGTAGCTAATTGAGGAAACTGCATCTTTTGTAACTGTATTCTGACCAGCATTCCTTCTCACATTGGATCACCAGAAAAGCTACTCTAAATTCAAATCTTTTGAGGTTCAGTGTGTACTCAAAACCACAGCATGTGAACTGCCATTAGTGTCTGTATTTTTACCAGCTATCCAGAAAATACATGAGTTTAAAATAAATGACATTCAGTCAAGCAGCATCGCAAATAAAGTGATGATAAAACTATCCCTTCATTTCGCATGAGTTATACTTTCTCATAGGTTACTATACCACTAGCTTGTGTGCATGGTGGAGGGGAGTGGAAAAGGGAGAGGGGAGTATACACACAGAGAATATATGTGACCAAGTAACAGATATTTAGATCACAAATGTAGCCTGGGAATGTGCATGAAGAGGTCTATCATCAGTCACCAAGCATGTACTGTCTTCTTTGTGGCAGGCACTGTGCCAAGCACTTTAAAAATATCACATTCGATCCTTACAACAGCCCTGTGAAATAGATGCTGTTATTATCCCCATTTTATAGGTTAAGATCAGTTCTCTTCTTTGGAAAGCCAGTATATGATTCCAGACAGCTGTCTGACTTTAGAGTTAGACATTTATTATAATTATAATTTAATTCTGTGAGGATCCTGTGTCCACAAATCCAATTCAAGGGACTAAAAAACAAACAAACAAAAAAACACCTCAGTACAATAGGAGCTGTGTAGCAGCTTGTTGGGGGTGGGGAGTGTAAATACAATCTACTTTGCTCCCAAATCTTCTTTGACTGGCATGCAAATGGGGTTGAGTAAGGGACAAAAAAGATAATGAAAAAAAAATCTTCTACCTTCAGGAACTACATTCCTCCCCCCACCTTTTATTTATTTATTTGTCTATTTATTTATTTGTTTATTTATTTATCTATCTGTTTATTTATTTATGTATTACATTTTGCATAGTTGTCACTAACAAAATAAACCTAGTTTTTGTGCTATATTCCGGCCAGCATAGAATTTTCTGTCTCCCCATGTGACAAACATGTGTAATGCATTTATTAAACATATCTTTACATTTTAAAAAATTATTCCTCAACCGGAAAGCACAGCAGTGTTTGGATAATGGATTCTGAAAATGATCAGGCTATTACTCTGTTACAGTTCTGGTATACACTCTATGTATGGTCATTTTAATTTCTGTCCTAAAATCCAGTTAGTCAGCAAAAAGCAGTTATGATTCTGGAACACATAAAGAACAGTTCACAAAAAATAAAACTGAAACTGTTTGTCAGTTAATACACATTAAGTTGCCATATAAGATTTTTTTCCTTTTGTAAAGTTTTACTATTTATGTGACATCTCTCTGCAAACATTTAGAATAATCTAAACCTAGAAATAGACTGGACAAAAATACTAATACTTCTAATCCCTGCTTTTCTAATTTCTAAAATTAAATTCTACTTCTCGAGAAACGAATCTAGAGTTCCTCCTTCCTTTAATTTTGCCTTTTCATAGGTATAGGGTCTAATCACAAAATCACAGAATTTCAGACTTCAAACTTTATTATTACTGTTGTATGTGCCATTATCCTTCTAGTTACCCAGTTTAGCAATATCAGTATCATCATGTTCACTTCTGCAGCATGTATACTAAAACTAGAACAATACAGAGAAGATTAGCATGGCCCCTATGCAAGGATGACATGCAAATTCATGAAACATTCCATATCTTTATAATTTTGATTACATTAAATTGAAAAGTTTTCACACAAACAAAACCAATGCAACCAAGATTAGAAGGGAAGCAGAAAGCTGAGAAACATCCAGTGTCTCTGACAAAGACCTCAATTCTAAAATATGGAGAGAACTAAGTCAAATTTATAAGAATACAAGCCATTCCCCAATTGATAAATGGTCAAAGGATATGAACAGGCAGTTTTCAGAGGAAGAAATTAAGTCTGTCTATAGTCATATGAAAAAATGCTCTAAATCACTATTGATTAGAGAAATGTAAATCAAAATACCTCTGAGGTACCACATCATACCTGTCAGATTGGCTAACGTGACAGAACAGGAAAATGATACTTGTTGGAGAAGATGTGGAAAAATTGAAACAGTAATGCATTGCTGGTATGAACTGATCCAACCATTCTGGAGAGCAATTTGGAATTATACCCAAAGGGATATAAAATTGTACATACCCTTTGACCCAGCAGGACCACTTCTAAGTATTCTATCCCAAAGAGATCATAAAATGGGGAAAGTATCCACATATACAAAAATATTTATAGAAGCTCTTTTTGTGACAGCGAAGAATTGGAAACTGAGGGGATGTCTGTCAGTTGAGGAATAGCTGAACAAATTGTGGTATGTGAATGTAATGAAACACTATTGCACTATAAGAAATGATGAACAGGTGGACTTCAGAAAAACCTGGAAAGACTTATATGAACTGACGCTGAGTGAAATGAACAGAACCAGGAGAACATTGTACACAGTAACAGCACACTGTGTGATGACTGATTTTGATAGACTTAGCTCTTCTCAGCAATGCAAGGATCTAAGACAACTCCAAAAGATTCATGATGAAAAATGCTGTCCACATCCAGAGAAAGAACTTTGGAGTCTGAATGCAGGTGGAAGCATACTATCTACTCTCTTTTTCTTTTGTTGTTTTGTTTTGTTTTGTTTCTTCTTTCTCGTGGTTCCTCCTGTTAGTTCTAATTCTTCTTTATATCATGAGTAATGTGAAAATATGTTTAATATGAATGTATATGTAGAGTCTATATCAGATTACACACTGTCTTGGGGAGGGAGGAGGAGAAGGAGGGAGAGAAAATTTAAAACTCAAAATCTTATGGAACTGAATGTTGAAAACTAAAAGTAAATTAATTAATTACTTAAAAATGTAGCTTTCACCATGTATATACCTGTAAGAAATAAAGAGAGTTTTTTTTAAATATCAATATCATCCTTGGTTCTTTATTCACCCTACATATTCAGTTAGTTTTGTGGTTTCTAACTATACAACATCTCTTAAATGCATTTCCTTTTCTCTATTCACAAAATCACCATCTTAGTTCAAGTCCTGATTACCTCTTGCTTGGAATATTGTAATAGCCTTCTAATTGGTTTCCGTGTACCCTGTCTCTCTCTAATCCAATAGATTGTCCACATAGCTGTCAAAGTTATGGTTTTATATTGTAGGTCTGACCATAGCACATCCCACCTCCCCTATTCAATAAACTATACTGGTTCCCTGTTACTTTTAGGATCCAATATAAACTCCTCTTCAATATTTAAAGCTCTTCTCTCTCATTCCAGTTTTCTTATGCATTACCTACTCCAATTCACCCATATTTTGCACACAACATTCCATCTCTCATCTCTATGTCTTTGCACTGACTGTCCTCTTTGCCTGGAGAGCTCCCTCTTTCCTTGTCTCCATCTCTTAGTATCCTTGTGTTTCTTCAGTACAATTCAAATGCCATCTTCTTCATAAGATTTTTCCTGATCTCCCCAGACAATAGTGCTTACCTCCTAAGGGTAGCATCCCAGTAATTTTGAAGTTATTTAAGGGACTTCACTGGTATATACAATGCATCAGACCCTTGCTTTTGAAAGCTTTATTTGAACCTCAGTCTTCAGACTGCAATAATAGAAGCATAAATAGAAGGAAAGTAGAAAATGGAACCAGAGAGACCATGAGGTAAACAAGACAAGATGAACAAGTGTTAGACAAAAGTACACAGTACAGTCTACATGTAAATTATGTCCACCTAATGCCTCCTTGCTGCCAAATGCAATATGTACAGTAATAATAGAATGAGGAAAGTAAGTATTCTTTGCCATTCTTCTAGTAGAAACTCTTTCTGGGTGAATATGTGATCTAGAGCTTCAAGAAGGTTTTTAAAATCACAACTCCAAAAATTCTATATAGATTTTTTAAAAAGCCTTAACATCAGCTTTTACTCCTGTGATTGCTTCATGTGTGCTCTTACTTTTTTTTTCTTTGTGAAGCAATGGGGTGAAATCACTTGCCCAGGGTCACACAGCTAGTAAGTGTCAGGTGTCTGAGGTCAGATTTGAGCTCAGGTCTTCCAGAATCCAGGGCCAGTGCTCTATCCACTGTACCATCTTGCTGCCCTTGTGCCCTTGCCTTTAAACTACTCGTGACCCAGTGCTGACCTTTGTACCCGTAAAGACACAAAAGGGTATTGCCATTGACTTCATTGGAAAATAAGTACTGAAGGAAATTCTAGCCAAGAGGAGAGAATGGAGCATGCATTGGTGAAACAACTGCATTAGTTCATGTTTGAACTGAATCTTAAATAGAAGGAATGATTTTCATTTCCTGTTATGTTCATAAAGTAAATACTTGTGGCTTTGGTATTTAATTTAAGGCAAATCCATTTAAAATATCATTAAAGCTACAATGAGAATGTTGTTGTTCACCTTTTAATAGCATCCTGAGACAGCTAATGGGTTGTGATTTCAAAGTACAACATGAAAATTTTACAGCACCATATTTTTTTATAGGATAAAATAAGATACATTTACTTACACCAATTTCGGTATTGAATTGCTGCCTTGCAGAGTTGTTTAATCATCAATCCCAAGCTAAGAAGTAGTTGAAAAGATAAACATTGAAGTCAATGAGCCTTCTTAGTACTATGTTATTACTTACATATTCACTAAAATATAAAAAAGTTTCTAGTGACTTCATATCTCTCTACATTATCTAACTTAGGTTTAGATTATAATTTTTCTTAATTCCTAAACAAAGATGTATCGGAAAGAGCATCATACTCTTGTTGAAGCAATTTGTGGTACTTATCTTGGAGAAGAGAAAGCTTAAGGGAGACGAGACATCTATCTTCAACATGTGAAGGGCTGTCACGTACAAATCTACCAGTCTACATAAAAGTTTCTCCCACCTACCAACCTGTTACTACAATGCATTTGAAAGGATACTAGCGCTCGGTCAAGAATTCTTATCACTATGAGTATGGGGTATGAAAATTTAAGCAAAAGTTAAACTGTGGAAGAGGTAAAGATGTCTCTTTATGTGAGCATTTATAGGCTTTCTATTTTTTTTAAAAGAAAGTGGAATAAGATAATGAAAGAGTAATTTTTTTTTAGGCAATTGGGGTTAAGTGACTTGCCCAGGGTCACCCAGCTAGTAAGTGTCAAGTGTCCTCCTGACTTCAGGGCCAGTGCTCTATTCACTGTGCCACCTAGCTGCCCCAAAAGAGTAATCTTGAAAGACTAAGCTTGCAGCAGTACACAGGATTGACTAAAGTGAGAGAACTTCAAGGTTAGGAGCCTAGCTGGAAGGCTGTTTCAATAATTCAGTTTTAAAATATGAAGGGGCACAAAAAGGAATGGAGAGAAAGGGAAGAATCCTAGAAATACTGTGAAGGAATAAGACTTAGGAAGTTATTAGGTATGGGACCTGATGTTTTAAGTCCAGGTGACAATAATGCATTCTATTTTCTTTTCAGGGCATGATTCCAAGTAGAATGTGAGAGAGGAACTCTCAAAACTTGGCAAGTGTAATGGCTACTACCCATTATAGCTTACTTACATGGATGTGTATAATGTTGCCATCAACCATCTAGAAAGCATTGCCTCACTGTGAAATCTTACAAAAGACTTAGTCATAAGATCATAGATTTAGAATTGGAAGGGATTGTAAAAGCCATCATTCCAGCCCTCTCAATGTAAGCAAAAACAAAAAGAGAGAGAAATTGAGGCCCACAGAGGTAAAATGACTTGCCCAGGATCACACAAGTGGTAAACGAGAGAGGCGGGATTTACATCCAGGTCCTCTGACTTCAAAGCCAGTGATCTTGACACTATCATATAGCCCCTTAGCTGATGATAATGTGGTAGCCATTATCAACATTAAAAAAAATCCAAAATGTAAGCATTACCACTTTATATTTAGATTAAGCATTACCATTTTAGCTTTCATTAGATAGCAAAGGGGTGAATTGAGTTGGAGGAAGTACTCCCATCAATGAGATCATGGATTCACTAAATTTCTGAAGCATCCTTTTCCCCAAACTGTGATAAAGGGTAAACTGGCCTTGGAAAGTATCCTGTATCCTACACTGGATTTGAAGTAGTTTGGTTCTTTTCTTTTTCTGTATATTTTTCTAGTCGAAGCAGCCATTTGGACCAGTATTGGGAACAGAGCTCTGAGTCCATGAAATGTGTGTGAGCAAGGGATCTGTCTTTGTAGACCACCACAATTAAACCACATTGAACCTTAAAGTTAAGGCATTGTGGTTAATGGCTCCAACATATGCTACCACTTGTAAAGGGTTGTCAAATGTATTCCAGATAAATGGTTTTGGTTTCTCTGATGTCTTCCAATCGATCACGCAAAGCTTAGCCTGATATTCAGCTACATAGTCCATTAGGCCCAGATACTTAAGGGACTCATTATCAACTGCACTTTCTAGGGCTCTTATTTCACTTATGTCTTTTAAGATATGTTGGACACTTGCTATACAGCCAGAGCTAATAGTTTTTTCGTCTAATTCCTTTAATTGCTCTTGGGATGAAAGCATGGCTTCTAATGCTTCATGGAAGTGTTTCCTTTGCAAAAAGATGTCTGAAGTGTTTTCTGCAAAGTCATCCCCTCCCAGCTCCAAAATCATTGACTGTTTCCACCTCTCTAGATTTAAGATTTGTTTTGCTGTCATGGTTTGCTGAAGGATTCGAG